CATTGTAGTTTTGTCTGAAGGCAAAGGAACAATGTCCCAAGTGTTATCTGAATGCAATTCATCCATTTCTTCTGCCATCGCCTGACGCCAATTAGAACTAGTCATAGCTTCACCTGTAGACTTAGGAATATACACAGAATCCAAAGCAGACACAAAAGAAACACAGGAATTAGAGAGACGTTCATAATTTAAAACACAAACATATTTAGGATTTGGATTATAAGATCAAATACTTTTTCGTAATGCTATTGGAAGGTCAAGTTCAGGTGACGTAGTTGGAGAAACGGTTGGAGTATAAGATGGTGTTGGTAGATCAATATAATCTCTAACTTCCAATGGACGCAGTGTGCGTTGCTGATATAACTGCAAAGAAGGTTTAATGGGTGTGGGGATGACAGAAGGGATATCTTGATCATCTAAATTACAAGTCTCATCGGGTGATGAAGAGACAGATAAAAAAGGGGAACCTTCAAAGAATGTATCATCGGAGGAGATAATGTATCGTTGAAGTTGAGGATAAAAAAATGACATCCCTTTTGTGTATGTGAGTAACCTAGAAAAACACATTTGAGAGATTTAGTGGAAAGTTTGTCTTTACTTGGACTAAGATCATGAACAAAGCCTATGCAACCAAACACGCGAAGGGGAATGGGATAGAGATCATATTGAGGATTCAAGATAGAGTATGGAATCTTGTCTTGAAGTACCGATGAAGGCATTTGGTTGATAAGGTGACATGCGGTGAGGAGAGCATCACCCCAAAAACGAGAGGGTACATTGTGGTGAAATAAAAGAGTATGTGCGGTTTCAACTAAATTACGATTCTTCTGTTCAACAACACCGTTCTGTTGTGGTATATGAGCACATGATGATTGGTGAATAATTCCATGTAATGTTAAAAAATATTGAAACTGGGATGACATATATTCACGAGCATTATCAGTGCGGAAAATTTTAATGGAAGTGTTAAACTGGTTTTTAATTTCAGCATAAAACTCTTGGAAGATACGGAAAACATCTGAACAATTTTTCATTAGAAATAACCAAGTGCATCGTGAATAATCATCGATGAAATTTACAAAGTAATAGTATCCTAAAGTAGACTTCACGCGACTAGGACCCCAAATATCAGAGTAAACTAAAGCAAAAGGTGATGCAACACTTTTATTTACTCGTTGACAATAAGTATTACGAGTATGTTTTCCTAATTGACAGGACTGACACTCAAAAGAAGAAAGCTTAGAAATACTAGGAACTAAAAGACACATTTTATTAAGACTAGGGTAACCCAAACGTTGATGTGTGAGTTCTGGAGAGGCAATAGAAACACATGCCACCAGTGGAGAAAGATGATATAATCCTTCAGCTTCACTTCGTGCTCCAATCGTTCGTCCTGTACGCCGATCCTGGATATAAACAGAATTATCATTAAAAAGGACTGAGCAATCAAGAGTACGAATAAGCTTGTGAGTAGATATTAGATTAAAGGGAAAGCCATGAATGTAAAGGACAGATTCTAAAGATAAGTTTGGAAGTGGATGTGCCTGACCAAGGCCTTGAACTTTGATTTTAGAACCATCCGCCACAGTAATAGAAGGAAAGGAATCAGAATAAGACAAGCGAGATAAAAGAGATTTATTACTAATCATATGATCAGAGGCACCAAAGTCAAGGACCCAAGGACCAAGAGAAGATGTAGAGACAAAGGCTACAGGATTACCCGATTGAGCAATAGTGGAAGATGATGATTGTTGATGGACTACTTTGTATTGAAGGAAATTATTATAATCAGCGGAGGGAATAGTGACATATTTAGTGATATCCATTTGAGCAACGACAGTGATTCATGATTGTCGTTGTTGTTCTCTTGATTTTGTACGACAATTGGCTTCAATTTGACCGCAACGATTGCAATAGTTACAACAATACTTTGACGCCCACCTTGTCCGTCAATTCGTCCACCACAACCATGATAGTGGGAAGCGAGCGCAGATGATTCAGTTGGAAATGATGTAGGAACTGGTCTAAAATCATGAGGTGTAGCCAAGCGTAATGGTTGTTCACTAACTGCTTCATAGTTAGGAAAGTTGGTTCCTGATAAAATCTGATTCTGGATGGAATCAAGTTCAGATGGCAGTCCAGCAAGTGCCATGACCATGAAGTACTCACTTTGTTGTTCAACATAAATTGTTGCATCTTTTGTAAATGGCATTAAGGTTGTGAAATTTGCCTTTAACGCATCAAGCTTAGTCAAATAGCCTTGCATATCCATATTCTCCAATTTCCAAGAGCGGAGTTGGGTGATGACAATGTAAAGATTATGGACATCATTTGAGAAGACTTTCTTAGCTTTTTCCCAAACCTCATAGCAAGTGGTAAAGGCTTGGTACTGTGCTTGGAGATTAGTTGTTGTAGAAAACCATAACACAATGCATAGAGAAGCATCGGTTTGTTTCCACTTATTGCGTTTGGAGGTGGGAATAGTATCGCCTTTTGTAGTTAAGTGGTCCTCATGTCCATGACCGTGAAACCACATCTTGACAGCACCGACACATATGTTGTAGTTGACTGTTCCGGTCAGTTTCTCATACGGAATAAATGGAACCTTAGTAAACGTGACGAAATCGGTATCTCCCATGATATTTAATGGCTTGGAACAAAAAGCCGAGAGCAAATCTGGAAAGAGGGTCGGAAAACGAGTCCGGCGAGAAAAACGGCGGCGGACACGCATTTAGAAGTTAGGCGCGTGAGATTCACGCCAAGTGCAAAGGAGACGCGTGGGGGCGCGTGCGGTGGCGGTTGGAAGCGGAGTTTTTGGATTTGGGTCGATCTGGAGGAGACAGTTCCGACGGTATAGGTATCACGCCAAAAAGTCTTTAGGAGCGGGGCGACAGTGGCAGCGATGTTCTGGGTGGCCAGAAAAAAAAGAAGTAATTTTGTAGAAGACATTAGGTCAACCAGCTCTAGATACCATGTTATGATTGTATCTTTGTATATCGAATTTGATCACACGAGGTGTATATTTATATACAAATAGTTAATGTACAAAAGGAAACCATATCAATTACAATATTTACTAATTGAATATCAATCAATCCTAATTGATTGATAACGGATTCTTAACAGAATCCTTAGGATATAAAGCACAATAAGAAAAATATTGTCTCTGTTGAAGCGACAAGTTTTGGTAACTCAATTTTAGGACGAGGAAAATGTTATCTTTATCCTCACACAATTTCCAAAAGTCACCTTGTAAGACATCGACCCACTCCCTTTCTTCACTTTTACTTTGTAATATGCCTCCCAACAATCTAATTTCTAGTGGAACTCCTCTACACTTTTTTACTATCTTCTTACCAATTGATTTAATAGTTCGATTAACTTCAACGGTATCATCCCCAAATATAATCTTCTTTAACAAATCCCATGATATTCGGGACTCAAACCATTCAAAACATATGGGTTACTTACACCTATTGTCTGTGCCACAATTGTACTATGTGTTCTTGTTAGAACAAGATTTGGTTCTGCAACTTTATCTCTAAGTTTTAATGATAACAAAGAGTATGTTTGTATGAATAATTTTGGTACTCTAATGTGTGTTACTTGTGAGTATCTAACAAACAGGTTTTGCTTCTGATGAATGGAGTGGCCAAGACATTAGAAGAGACAAGTTCTGCTTATGCACTACACAAGTTCTGATGAACAGTAGCAAGACACTTTAGAAGACTCTGATGTGCAGGCTCTAATATGAAGTCTAAAGTAACCAGACAGAAGATCTAAAGACAGGATTTCTACTGAAGTGAAGATGCTAAAGACTCATGTTTCTGAAGACAACATGTTCTAAAGAAACCAGTCAAAAGATCTGAAGACAGAAGTTTCTACTGAAATCCAGATGTTGAAGACTCGTGTTTTTGAAGACAAAAGGTTTTCAAGACCAAGTGTTAAAGACTCAGTTCTGAAGACTCTGAAGACTTGAAGTTCTGATGACCTTAGTGTTATGTTCTCTCTTCTAAGCTCATGCTCACAGAAGCCTCTGAAGTACAAAAGGAAAGAAGATAACGTTAACGTGGTACAAAAAGTACACGGTACAATCAAAACATTTTATTCCACTAGCATGAAGGACGGGCGCGTCGCACGATCCTGTCCCCCACGTGATTCAAGCCGCCAAAGATTTTGGAAATTCCAAGAGTACCCCTCAACGGATATATTATTTTATTGAATATATAAAGGGCTTGAAGACTAAGAGAAAAAGATGTTAATTCACTGATTCATACTCTCAAAAGGCTGCATATGTTTTTCATTTCTCTTTAGTCTGTATAGTTGTGAAATACTATTTGCATATTAGCTTGTTAAGAAGCACATCTTTTGTAAACAGAACTTGATTCAAACAGTTGTTTGATTTTTCTTAAGGGACCAGTTAGGTAACTATCCTTAAGAAGTCTAGGACATGTGCGTCTTAGAGATTGTTGTTAGTCACTTGTGGGTAACATGAGCATTGTAATAATTAGTTTGGTTATTGGATTAGGTCCTTGTTTGATAAGGCGAAATCACCTTGACGGGTGGATTAGACTATTTTGATAGTTTTCAAGTGAACTAGTATAAACATATCTTGTTCTTTACTTCCTGTTTTTAATTATTATTATTATTATTAAGAGTGAGAAAAACGTATTTTAAAACTCAATTCAAAAGTCTCATTTCTTATGTTTTTCATACCACTGAAATTCTACTGTCTTGAGCACCACACATCAAGTAAGTTCGCAATTGTGCCCATTTTTCATAACTATCGTTCCAAATGTCATCTAAAATTAACAAGTATCTCTTACTAGATAAATGATGACGAAACATATTTTGCGAGTTGTCCAATGATAATGTATTATCAATTTTTTTCTTTCTTGGTTAATGATTCCAACATGTTCTTCACGATAGTTTTGACTTCAAAGTTTTCAGAGAGACATACCCACATACTTTTTTCAAACAATTTTTTTACATTTCCATCATTATATACCAATTGAGCTAAGAGTTATCTTTCCTAACCCACCGATCCCAACAATAACAACCAACGAGACATTATGATTTCCACTAGACTGATTCAACAAAGGTTATAATCTCCTTTTTATCACATTCTCTTCCAATGATATCTGATTCTAACATAAAAGAACTAGTTTTTCTCCTTGAACTATTATTTTGATTAACAATCACTGAGTTTGAACTTAAATTCAACTTAGACATTTCTTCCACTACATCATTAAGCCATTTTAAGATAACGCAATTTGATTTGGAGATAACGTACGTAATATCTTTGATACTTTGTTCGTATGAGCTTCATCCATTTTGTGTTTCATATCTTCAATAACTGTTGTTTTCGGATTTTAAAATATTTACCACCGAAGAAATTATCAGGTTGAGTCGCGGACTAGGTCGCTCTCTTCAAGACGTTTTAGCAGTCGAACTACCGCGCCGCCTCTAGGATAAAACAATCCAGTTATATACTGTATACTGTATGATTACTACTTGTATGATAGATAATCAGTCTAGAAATACACCCTATGATGGTACAAGACTATTCAAATATGATATCAACACACTCATAGTATCTGGTACAAAGACCAATCATAATAATTTCTCAAACAAAAAGAAACTCAAATAATTCTCCAAAGAGAAATTAATAATGGTCATTTGACCACTCATAATAATTTATCAAAGAGAAATTCAAATAATTCTCCAAAGAGAATCCAAAAGATTAAACTTGAAAATTTCTCAACTCAAGTGAGAAAAAATTAACATAATTCTCTAAAGAGAATTCAAGAAAATACTCAGAAAATTCAACGAGTTGAGAGACGCAGAGTTATGAGAGTGAGTAAGGAAAAATTAATAGAATAGTTTTTAGTGTGATTTGAAATCAAATATGTGCACTTTTTATATAATGAAGTAAGATAGTTAATATTTCTCATACGAGTAATGTGAGACTAAATGGTTTTTTTCAACAAAAAAGATATTCTAACAATATAGGACTTAAGAAATTTTTAAATTCAACATATTGAAACATGGACATGTTCCAACAATAACAAATTCATCGAGCAAAGCATCGTTGAACCTTCTTACCCAAATTCGTACAGCATGATTATGTGCTTCTTGTTTCTCCTCGGTATCAAGGAGCACAGCTCTAATAGATTCAACTGTGTTCTTAAGCCTTTTCAATTCATCCGTAACACCATAAATCCGTCCAAATTCACGAAAGGCAGTAGAAGCCAACGTATCAACAAAAAATCATCTTTAAATATGATAACTCTCTTTTTTTTTTTTTTTGCAAAATTTCAAATAAAACAAACATAATCATACAAGGCATGTGGAAGAAGAAGAAAGTTGAAAATGAAGTCACCTGTTAACGAAACTTGTAGCAACACCGTATGGAATTTGCTCAACCATTCTTCAAATAAAACAAAGATAGCAGATGAATCAAGAGAAAATGAAACGAAGTTGCTTTTTTTGTCATAACAATATTGAAAATTAACATGTTACCCCTAAATTAAACATGTCATTCTCAATTTTTTTTATTTCACTTTTATTCTTTGATGAGATGCATATTATTTTCAGACGAAATTTTTGATAGAAAGATTGAAATTTTTAGTATCGTTTAAATTTCTGATACGCTCCTATAAATTTTTTGATAGTGTATTTAAAATTTCTAGTACATTTCTAATGTATCAGAAATTTCAAATTGACTGCTGGTAGTTATAAAAACATGGTTTTTTAAACGGCTGGGGTTTTGCTGACATATTTGGATGGTTTTGATTGCACCGACACATTTGTATGGTCTAAAATGTATCACCATTTATATAAATATGGACATGTGTTATAAAGAAAATACATCTCAAAAAAATGTTTCTTTCTCAATTTCTTATTAAGTCAGAAGTGTATTACAACAGTAACAACCCTTCTGTTGAATTCAAACTTCCAGATGGTTTAGAATCATTTGTCACCTTGAAAGAAACGTTGAATAATTTGCTGTCTGATTTCGATAACAGAAGGGTGACAAAGGTAGAGTTTCGAGAGGATTGGATTGATACAAATGGAATGGTGAGATACAATCTAATCGAGTTGAAGAATGATGAAGACGTGAAGGCCATGTGGAAATCATTTCGCTGTAGGATAACTAAAGGTTCAATCGAGTTAGATGCGCAGATCCGAAGATCCGTCGAGGACATAATGAAGATGCTGAAACGTCCAGAGTCATTCGGAAGTGCCTAAGTTTTCATATTTAGTTATTTTTTGGTTATGTTTGTTGTATTATTTCATGTTATGTTCATCATTGATTCGAAACATGTAATCGTCAAAATATTATGCAATAAATAAGAAGTATGTGTGTCACAAAATATACATATAATACAACCAAAATAAAACAGATCTACATAGGTCCTCCACGGGCTACGTCGGCAACATAGCTAAACCTCTATAGATTTCACCATCTGAGTTTATTAAATCCATGAGACTTTCAGCATGAACTGCAATAAATTAGAGGTTGTTATCTTGATCTCCTGCATGTGGTGGAGGTGGTGGTGGTGGCTCGGTAGAAACTCTGGCACCAGAAGGCCCCGGAACATCAGATGATGCAACCGATGATATTGACCCGAGGGTGTGACACATTGTGAAACCACTCCAGGTATTCATCCTCGCACTGTCCAGGCTGTTGAAGCTTGAAGGCTATATCCATGATCTCACAAAGGGAGATGAGGAAGTGACTCTGAAACCATCTATCAATGCCACCAGTTGAATACTCTGGAACTGGACGAGAGATGTCCTATACATAACCATACTGGCGTAGATACCTCTCAGACAAGTGTCTAGCCACATGGCTCTCTTATCTAATATGCCCTGAATATAAAGTAGATACCTTAAATGAATGATGAGGGCGATGAGATGTATATCCAGACGACATCCTCCAAGGTCAGAGCGTCAAAACCTCCTCTGGTACTCGATCAAACCTCCTGTAATGACTTACTTGGCCTATCATATCCTAGAGCATGTCTCATATTCCTAGACACGCCGGATCTTTCGCTCACAGATGCGAGGGAAGTGCTCGTATATCCAACACTGCATAAATAAAAACCATCAATACACCTAAATAATCAATAAAAATCATCAAATAAATTATAATATACCTGTAACAAGTTAAGGTAACCAGCAAGCTGCCTAGTCTCAGGACGAGAAGTAACATCAAGTGTCGTGTACAGCATGGCCAATGCCGCCACTCCCCAAGTCCAACATGGAGTGTCAAGTGCACTGAAGAGAGACAAATACTGAACATCAGTATAAACTCCATACTTGTCTGAAAAGAGAGTACATGCCACCAGATGTAGCATGTACGCCCTAGCGGCAGCCTGGTACCTTTGTGCCTCCACAAGCTCCCCACACAACCTCCTCAGCCAAGACATCCGAAGGTGAAATCCTCGAGTCTCACCAAACTCATATAGCACATGCGTCTCAAAAACCTCCAAATCATCCATAACCATGTGCACCGCCGTCACCTGGTCCCTGTAAATTGGTGTAAAAAATGTACCAGCAATCAGAATGTGAAATAGGGCGTCCACATCATCTAAAGTCATCATCATCTCCCCAAATGGAAGATGGAAGGATAATGTCTCCGGGTGCCACATCTCAACAAAAGTTGATAACAGGGATGCGTCCAGCATGGTCAATGAGCAATCAACAAACTTCAGGATATGGAACTCTCTAACGATCCTCCTCACCTCCTTAGACATGGGACTCTCAAGGAAGTTCTTCAACTTCGAACCATGAGAAACGATCTTCAACACCCGACGCTCCTGTAAGAAGCAAAACCAAATTATTATACATCAAATCTTGTAAGAAAAAATAAAAATTATACAATTAAACAAAATCAAAAATATATACCTCACCATGTCATATCCTATAAGCGACATGGTCCGCAAACCCTGTCAGCACGGACCTGTCTGAAGGTCCTCCAGGAAAACCTCCATTAGTGTGTACTGATGACATTGTAGACGCGTGAGTTATGGTGTCTGTATCAGCGACGGACACATCATCAACTCACTCTGCAACAACCTCCTGCTCAGCCTCCTACACCACAGGCTCCACAATGTGCTCCTCAATTAGCGGCTCCATAATAGAAACAAAAGTGTGTACGTCCTTAGTAGGAGCTTGTACCTCCTCAGTAGGAGGATGTACCTCATCGGTAGGAACATGTACCTCCTCCGTATGAGCTTGTACCTTCTCAGTAGTGGATATTCTAACACTCCAACGGTGGGGTGCGCGGAACTGCGCATGCTGCTCAGCCATCTGTTTCCGGTGAGAACCGGTCGGAGGATGGTGTCCAGTTCGTAGCTCTGAAGTTTGCGTCTCATCATTCTAGACTTTAACATTAGCTCTATCAGTGGTTCATTCCGCAAGAGAACCATCTTTGTCTCTGGTCCTCACTTCAAAATAAGAAAATATTATGAAAACATAAACTACCAAAAAAATTTAAATTTTTCGATATTTTTCAAAAAAAATTATGAACTACCGAAAATTTCAAAATTTCCGGTATTCTGTGGCGTACCGGAAATTTCAAAATTTTCGATATAAATGGTAAATGAAAATATCGGATATTTTGAAATTTCCGATACGAAAATATCGGATATTTTAAAATTTCCGGTATAAAATATCAGAATTTTACAAATCTACCGTTAATTCTTACTTGTTCACGAAACTTTCGGTATCGCCTTTGAAATTTTCGATATCGCCCAAAAATTTGAAAAATCTAATTGATCACGTTTGGGTCTGGACAATTTAGTTTTTTCATATTATTTAGAGAGATGTCATGTATAATGTGAGGGTCGTAAGTTAACTTCTCGAAAATAGACTATAATAATATCAAAGATAACAATAGCTCTGGACCAAATCAAAACAATAGCTAGGCAATCAGTGGTTGCGTCCCCCATGCCGTCAAAATAAATTGGAAATTAGTGCTGTGTTGGCACTATAATAGAATATAAGGAAATTTGATGGCAATTTCTTTGTTTTCTGGATAAATACAAAAGTATTAGAAACAAGGAGGTTGCCAATTCAATCAATAATTTTGTTTCATGCAACTTGCAAAAGAATGATATTGCAATGGAAAATTAGCACCAACTTCTAAAAAAATTGTTTGAACATTTAATCGTAAACACAGCAAAAAAACATTATTAATTTACTAAAGACGAGAGTTTTGAGACAGAATAGTAAAAATCCCAATATTATTTTAAAAACAGAATCTGTGGCCTGTCTTTATAGATACAGAATTAATTTATATGTTAGAGACAAATAGAAACGGAATTATTTGTATTTAGAGAAGATTTATCTTACTCTGTAATCTCTTAAGAGCAACATATTCGAATAGAGACGGAATCTCCAATAGAGAAGAGAACTGAAATTCAACTCTACTAATTTGGCATCAAATAAATCAAAAATAAAACTTATCGGGTCTCCCAAATTGTGTTTTAGAGACAAATTTCGCCTATATCTAATTTCAATTTTGTAATAGATCTGCCCTTGCCTTGTTAAAATAAATAATAGTATTGATATGATGCAATTCATTTCACTGGTCTTTTCTATAGTGTAAGAGTTTAGATATAACAATTTGGACCGTCATCTTCTGAACACCACAAAAATTAACAAGTAATTAGATACAGTAAAAAGTAGATGTAATTACAAGATTTTGCACTAATTAAATTGGAAATAAGAATAGCAATCCAAGGAAAATTTTACATAAAAGTCATAGGACACACTAATCCTATTGAACAACTAATCTCTGTAAATGATCCAGGAAGACCTCAAAGCTAACATCATCCGTAAAGATAATGTCACCGCCAGGGAGGGAAGCTTCTGTGTTATATGTTGCAGAAGGATTTAACTTGGCTAATAGAAATCGAGCCTGCATATTATACATGAACGCCAAATATGTCACATGCCAAATTAGTTAAATAGTCAAAGTCACCTTAAACACAAAATACTAGTATGATGAAACAAGAGAGTTCAAAGTATATGAATGTAACCTGGGATCCATGCTGATCACAAACAACCAGGCGAGGCACAGGAAATCTATCTTTCATTATTAAATCTGAATCATCATGAGGAGCTCGTAGCAACTGAGCAAATGCCTGCAAAATATTTTACTCAAATTAACTAAATTGCCAACGTGAAGATAAGGTCGTTAATCATTTAATAGCAGTGGCCATAGCAAGGATTTCCTAATTAAGACCTTAATTATGCCCCAAATAGTCAAATGCTTAAAGTTAAGGGCTTTCCGATATGCCAGTGCTTTAGAAGTTCAAAATTTGCATAATTTTGTGAAACCTCAGTCAAAGAAAAGTTTTCTCAAAAACATAAAAACATGTTCTCTGATAATGATCTTGCTTACACATTGAATTCAT